CAAATAGCGAACAGATTTGGTTAGCTGCTGTAAAGCTCGAGGCTGAAAATGGTGAAGACGAACGTGCTCGTATGTTACTGCAAAAAGCAAGAGAACAAGCGGGCACAGAAAAGGTGTGGATGAAATCAATAGTTTTAGAACGCCAGCTCTGTAAAATCAATGAAGCATTAGCAATGTTGGATGAAGCATTGGCTCAATACCCAACTTTCGATAAATTATGGATGATTAAAGGACAAATAGAGGATGAAAGAGGTGAATTACCGACAGCACGATTAACTTATACTAAAGCCGTTAAAAATTGTCCAAAATCGATTCCATTATGGATCCTCGCATCTCGTTTAGAAGAAAAAGCTGGGCTGTTGATTAAAGCTAGAGCTACCCTTGAAAGGGGTCGTTTATTAAACCCGAAGACACCTGAATTATGGTATGTTTTGCAGAAAATACATAGCATGGGGTATTAAATGCTAAAAAATTCTAATTTATTCATTTATAGGTGTGAAGCAGTTCGAGTAGAATTGCGGGGTAATAACACTAGCATGGCTAAGGCTTTATTGGCAAAAGGTAAATTGAATTAAAATTTGTCCATTTTTTGTTATTGCAATTCTTATTAACATTTTCAACCTTATAGCGTTACAGGAATGTCCAAGTTCTGGCCTATTATGGTCAGAAGCTATTTTCATGGAACCTCGCCCACAACGCAAGACTAAATCAGTGGACGCGCTCAAGAAATGCGACAATGACCCTATTGTCATTGCGACAGTAGCGCGCTTGTTCTGGGCCGAACGCAAAGTGGATAAAGCACGCACGTGGTTTGAAAAGGCTGTAAAAGTTGATCCAGATCGCGGAGATTCTTGGGCTTGGTATTATAAATTTGAATGTCAACATGGAACAGAGGTAATTACTTTTTTAAAAAAAAAAAACGGGCAATTCTTTGATTATGAATACTTATTATTTACATTCAAATTTTTTTTATTAAACCAGCAACAACAGCAAGACGTAATTTCTC